AAGGATTCCTGAGATGTTACATGAGTAGCTGGAGCTTCCTGAGCCTGCAATAGAAGCAAGAGGAGGTCGCTGCTCTTCAGAGTGACCCTTCAGGTCCTTGCTCCAGCATCTGTCTAAATCACAGCCTTTCTGAGAGTGTATCAATCAAAAGGTGTGTGTGTGCCAAGCATGTGTTCATAAACCCAACTGAAGTGACATGCATCAAGTGTTTTTAAGCACCTCTGCCTTCCCAGCTAAGGCCGTATTAACTCATCAGTGCACCATTTTTTCCCTTCCTCCTTAAGACCCTCCCCTAAATGTCTGTGGCAAGAGATATTTTCACAAAAAAGCCGTATTACAATTTTCAGGATTCCACTCAAAGGCTTCAAACATTTACTGAAGAGGTTTGCCTGTTTTTTTTTTATCCAATTCCAAAGGCACAAGCGATTATACAACAGATACACAGCGTTAAGAAAATGCTCGACCAAAAATGAAAACACAAATCAAAATCTGAGCTCAGTTCTTCCCTTAAATAAAGCAGGCAGCAGCGAGGATGGTGAGTGAGCATCCCTTCGACATTCCCGGGGTGGCTGATGAGCCCTTTGTGCCCAGTTGTGAAACTTCCACATCTCGCTTCGCCCTGCATCGTTGGAGTCACCCCATGGTGACTTGCGTGGTCAGATGCGCAGGTGTTGGCTGCTGGGTTTTGAGATTTACCTCTCAGGATGGAGAGGGGAGAGTCGCTGGGTTTCCTGATGGAGCACTGAGCAAACAAGGCAGAGCACAAATGCACCGGCTCCACCTGAGACCTGAGTGGCAGCGACAGCATCTCTCGCCCGCAGCGCTGCAACGCCCTGTGAGGCACGGCCTTGCAACCCAGGGCTGGCTGCTTCTCAGAAGCGGATAAAAAAATCAGCCTTTTCTCAAAAATAGCCATCTACCTGGGGTTTGGGGGTTTTTTAAAGCACATGTAAGTATCTAGTTTGCTTTAGAGACAATACAAAATGTAACCCTGCTTGGTACCACATCGCATTTAAAGCCCCAAATTGCAAGCCCAAAGGGTGGGAGAGATAGAGGACCTGGATGGGTGGCTTGTTTCTTAGGGATGTGCTCCCTGATGTCTCTTCACAGTTGGACTTGATGCTCTTAAAGGTCTTTTCCAACCTGAACAATTCTACGGTTCTACAACGTGCCCTTCACTGAGGCCACTCACGTTGTCTAAAGAATTTACTTCCCCCGTTTTCAGATGCTCAGCACTCCTCTGGCAGCATGTGAGAACCAGGTGATATTTAATGACCACCTAGCAATCAGGCTAGAGCTGAGCT